AGCTCACGAAGTTGTATTAGGGTTTTGAGAGTTCAATGTGGATTAATTAATACTCCGTAGAAACTTTACTCAAATGTACGAGTTGTAATTCATTGAGTGGAGTCCCATTGGCTGAATAGCCTACAAACTCACCTTGTAACTGGAAGGTCCTGGATCCGTCCTAAACTAGGACGAAACAACTGTCCAATGCTCTCTAGATGATTTTCAATGGTTCTTTAGTTGATATCAATCTATGGTCAAACTCAAAACAAATCAACCTAACTCATACAAATGTAATTACTTCGAAAACAGCTACAGGGCGACACTCGATGACTTCACTCAAAGAAGTAGTCGGGACCTAACGGCTGACACAGTCATTTGTAGGAAATATTTACAAATCTCATATGTCTTTTGAGCTCTTGTCACAATCACCTGTGGTGAGATGGTTATACCTTCAGTTTTCGAAGTGTATAACACTATGAAAAGGATTTTTGTCCATATTCTACGTTATTCTTGATGTATTATTTTATGATCGTACCTGTGATATTCACGTTTTTCTGGAATTCCCATAGCTTCGGCTAAGTATAAAAGACGGGTTCTGATTCCGTTCGAAAGACTCCGTGGAATGCGATAGATAACTTTGAAGGCACTATTTTTCTCCACTTGGTGACCGCTGTCAATCAAATGAGCCAAGATAGAACTTCTTATGGATTTTATTTGATCTTTTCCAAACCATGAAGGAAGATGCTCAATAATGCGTTTGTTAAGCTGTCTCGTTGTTCGCCCTATACAGCTAGCTTTCTCCACAGGAGCAACTAAATTTATAGATACACATCGAAGTAGCACAGCTAGGTAGCTTATCTTTCACTTGAGCAATCATAATTGGTCGGCAGCTGGAAAATGACAAACAAAGGGTGGCGGCGGCAGTATAAGTCCGTTTTATCGCTCTCGATAATCTCAGATGTAAGACTTTGCTAGCCACGTCCCCATTGAATTGCAGTTTCATGAACAGTTGTTTCTTTTTAACTGTTGTCAGTTTTTCTTTATTGCACCTGGTATTCATGTGTTTCCTTACAAATCTACTAGGATAACCCATTTGGACCAATGTATATTGGATGTATCTTAGCTCATTTTCTAAGGAGTCATCTGTACAGATACGTCTTGCTCTATTCGTGAGGCATCTGACCAAATTGATTTTGCATCGGATTGGTACAAAACTGAGGAAATGTGTATATTGTCCTACAGATGTAGGTTTTCTATAGACATCTCTCTTGAGTGAACCATCTAGTCTCTCTTCTGCTCAATTGGACGTCAAGGAAATGTAGTCTACCATAATGTTCTTCTTCACAAGTGAAGATGAGCGATGGATGTACATCATTAAACTTTTTTAACATTTCATTCTTGTCTGCTTTCACATCAAGAATAATGAACGTGTATCATCAACATAACGAAAATGAGAATCGGTTTTCCTCTATTACTTGTCTCAATGGACCATATTCACGTTTTTGTTTACACCTGCCTAAAATATACAACATGAGAAGATTATAGGTGCATGATTATACTTTATTTTTCATAGTATTACTCACCTGTAGCTGGAACTACACTGATTAATTCATTTTTGTCGTCAGACTCAGTGTTGTTACGTGATTTTGAAAAGTAAACCATTCTATGAGGTTAACTGAAAGTACATGTGCATGTCAGTTGAGTTGTGATAGTATTATCTGAGGTAGGATTAAGCTGAAGTCTCCGAGTGCTAATATTACGACTGTATAGATGAGCTTAAATTGACTGACTTGAGATGTTGACAGTCTCTTTATTATATGTATATTGTTAGAAAGATGAGCAGGTGTGTTCATATTTTAAATCCTTAATATATGTGAATTATTTATAATTAGCGTGCGTCAGTGGCACAGCGGTAGAATGCTTGCCGACCACGCATGTCGTCCGGGGTTCGATTCCCGGCCACAGACGCATTTCTTTACTTCGCTGAGCCAGTAGTAAAGCTGGTAAAGAGGAAAGGTTGGGCATGAGGCTAGCAACCCCATCCTGTAAAAATAAGTACTACTGCTACAGAAACTTCAAGTCTCTAGCTTGAAACCCTATGTTCCACCTTGTATTCACCTTTTATTGAAGTTAGGAGAAAGACGAGACTGCCTATCATAACCGATGATATTCTTGGTTGTGATGGACTAGATCATACAATACACCATGAAAAGCGAGAAAACAGAAGTATGCGTTGGGCAGACATGGAAATACTGAAAGATTTCAAGTTTTTTGATGTGGTTGTGTTCTCTGAACTGGATATTTCATTTGCGAAGCTTTCATCATCCTACCAGGTGACATCTTGAGCGCATACTTCAATTCGATGAAGTGAGCTTTTAGATTTCTCCACGAGTTTATTAATCATCTCTCCTGGTGACCTTGGACGTGATTGGTTGTTTTTGTATGTTTTGTTTTGTCACCGGGAGAGATGATTAATAAACCCGTGGAGAAATCTAAAAGCTCACTTCATCGAATTGAAGTATGCGCTGAAGATGTCACCTAGTAGGGTGATGAAAGCTTCGCAAATTAACTATCCAGCTCAGGGAACACAATCACATCAAAATCATCCACCTGAGCTACAAATCTTCTCCATCATATCTAAATCTTACGATTTCAAGTTTGCGGATGATTTATGCCGAACATCCCACATACTTGAAGATTTACAGACGAAAACCAAGAATTTGGCAGAATAGGCTGGCAGTGAAGGGAGGAATTGAAGTGAACATAGAGAAGACAGAGGTGATGAAGATATCTAACCGTTAGGAGGAAACTGGCTGGCTGGCTGGCTGGATTCAACATAGAACTTGGAACCGAAGTGCAGCAGTTCGAGTTGCCACGTTCCAAATAGCACACAAAGGTAGACAAGAAGATGAGTGAAGAAAATCAATAGAATTTGATAAGTATAAGAGTGAAATAGAATGAGTAATGGTAGAGAGGAATATGAAAGATTACAGAGACTGAATACATCTGCGTAAGCCATTGACAACGATTTTGAGTCATGTCACCTATTGTCTCCAGCCATTGATTCTTAGAGTCCCGAGGGCCCCAACCCGGAAGTCTGCATCTCCCTACCTGACTCAGTTTAACTGTCAAGGATTAGGAGGAAACAAGCACCGATCACTGTCAATGGGATAAATTTGAAGGAATTGACTGCTTGGATGTAGATGTCATAGACATCCAGGATTGGAAGTTCAACACACACCTTCATTAATCTCAAATCAGTCTGGAAGTCTACTGTACTCAGTACAAAAAAAAACAACATTCACATTTTCAACACTAATGTTAAGTCAATTAGTTCTTCCGCATAGTCCACAGACTTGGAGTGTCATCAAAAGCATTTGGAATAGACTCCAAACTTCTATCAATACCTACCTTTGATACATACTGAAAGGTCAGATGGCGAATCATTCGAGAAGGATTGGCGACTAGGAACTCTGGCACACAACGAAGCCATCATGAACCTACTACCCGACAAATTTGCCGAAGATAATGGAAATCAGTTAGACACAATTTCAGGAGACCGTTGAGTAGTGCTGTGCGCCGACCAGACCCTCAATCGGAACCCGAATGGTGGCAGACAATTTGGGTGTGGCTCTGAGGGTGGAATGGAGGAGATGAGAATTTATCGGCAATCGTGGAGGCAAATAAAGACGACTAAAGAAAACAGGTTGTTGCTGATGAAGCCTTGTTCCTTTTGGAACCTAAGGGAACATTAATGATAATTCACTTTGTGTGTGTGTGTGTGTTGTTGAACTGTTCTTGTCATTCCTTAGGCTCCGAGTAGGACATATGGCTTCAAGCTTTTAATTTTTAGTAACGGTTCTGGTGTTTCTTAGATGGTGGTGAGTAAGCTTGTCATATCAGCATTACGCTTAACTCTCCCTCTTCCCCAGGCTTATTATCTACTTGGAGAGGTTAAATGGAGCGTGTCGACCAAGAGGTCGAACTACGACCCTTCTTGCGGCTGGGCTGGCTAGAATTCTACCATTGAACCACCTACGTCGAACTAATATACATCTCAAGATTCCATCGTGAATTCATATGGCTGAGGATATGCGGCCGCTCTGCGTATTCGATCATCGCTGTCTCCGCAGGATTGCTTGTGTTCGATGGCATCATCGCATGAGTGACTCTGAGGTTCAGCGGGATGTGTTTGAACGCAGTGGAGATCACCATTTGTTGAGTGCCACCATCGGCTTCGGTGGCTTGGACATGTGCTGCAAATGTTATCCCAGAGGTTTCTGTACAGGTCTCTGTTCGCTAGCAAGCCCTGGAACGGGATAGAAAAGGCAGAGAGGTGGTCAGTCGACGACGTGGCGTCGTGGGATGAAGGATATTTGTGCTAGGTTACCATCGGTTGATGTGTCACGACTCCCTGGTTGGAGTCCGAGAGATAGCTCGAATCGATGGCTCGAGACGTTATCGGATATGGCCAAGAATCATAATCAATGGCAAATGTGCTGCAATTTCCTTCTTTCTTCCCTTCCCGATGATAGTTGACGTATACTGTTTGAACTTGTTAAATGTAACTTTTCTTTCCTGACGAAGTTCGTTATTCGTTCTCCACCTATACTTTTAGTTTTAATCTTTGTTGTTTTGTTATTATTATGTGGCGCATCTTCTTAGTGCCCTTTTGTACCAAGTTTTTCTGCGTTTAAATAAATAATAAATGATATCGGTTAGAGGACCATTAGAAAACCAGCTTTTTCGTCGGCCTAGTGTTGAACTGTTCAACAGAACGCACCCACCGCACAAGTTCGGACTCGGGATCTTCAAGTCACAAGGCTAGCTAGCTCGTACACCATTCTGCCACTGGGACCAGACCCAATAGCCATTCCATGAATTCCAACTACATCTACCTATCTACTGATCAGAGTTGTTATTTCTTTGGCTGTCCATATGAAAGAAGTATTACAATAGAATGTCTGCCAGGGAATACTAGAAAAGAAGCGTCTGTCAAGATGTGAATTATTTTGTTTGTTTGTTTTTGAAAAATAAAATAAAATAAACTTTGCCTAAAAATAAAAAAACAACAACAACAGGAGAAAGACAAACACATTAGTAATAGCAATAACAAGTGAAGGTAGAAATGTTTATACAGGGATATATATATATATAAGAGTATTCTGTATTGTCCAGTTAGTGTTTGTTGCTTATAAGCTGTTAACAAAAATAATGGGTGTGTGTGTGTGTGGCGTAGCTGAGTGAGAAAGTTATTGTTCTTCAATTGTTACTCCATAGATGACGAGGAAGCCATTTTCATTGCTGTACAGATTGATTGGCAGTAGGCGTGGCAGCAGGTAGGTGAGGGAGAAATCGAAAGAAAGGAAAAAAAGAGAAAATAAAAATTAGAATGCTAATAATTATTATTACTGTGATAATCTTAACACTTTTATTATCATCATCACATCTCAGTGTAGATTGGCAGTGTGTCATCCACCTGGCTGTGCGTTTCGTCCTACTTGGGACTCGTCAGCTGGATGTACCTGCATTCCCTGTGAGGCTTGAACCCAGTACCTTTAGTTTTCAAACGCCAAAGCATCATCCAATAGACCCCTTGGGCCACGAGAGCCACTTCTTATGCAACGGGTTTTATTCATTATTTAAATGAATTTAGATTTTCCCTTCGATTGATTGAACCGAAGTGTACGGCCTCAGACTGACGTGTCGGCTCTTTTTGCAGATGCTTCACCGATGTCTGATTGTTTAACTTGAAGTAAATTGGTGAATGGTGACGAGCAGTGGAATTCAGGATTCGCGTTTCGTCCTACTTGGGACTTGTCAGATGGATGTACTTGCATTCTCAGTGAATGACGGATGGTGTTGTCACTGACGCTTTAATCTTGCACCTATCGTTTGGAATACCAAAGCGGTATCCATTAGGCCATGAGAACTACCTTTGTAGGTTAATTCCTACTTCCTGTTAATTGATGATATTGAAGGGAAATGCTCAATAGATAGGAATGTTGATATGTCGACTTCTGGTATTGACGCATGGCCTATTGAATAAGACTTTTGGGTTTAAAATGATGGATGGAAGATTCAGCTCTCACAGAGAGGACGCATTTATGTCCAGTTGACGAGTCTCCTGTAGGGCCGAATATGCATTCAAGTAACTTCATGTTAATCCTTAGACATCGTCGAAGCGTCTGTACTAGGAGGTGATATGTGATGAACACAGACTAAGCATTTCGGTACAACATATTCAATTAACGGGAAATACAAATTGACTCAATAAACAAACGGTATGTTTAATATTTAAAAAAATTTTGTCTGTTCAATGTGACAAATTTACTGTTTTCCTTTTACACCCGTAAAGAGGTCTTGTTGGTATCTCTTCTACTAATGTCGAACGAACTCTTGTAAGTTTTTGTGTCGTATTGCAATGGAAAATATTTTTTAAGATTAAATTACTAAATATGAATGAAAATGAAATTGTTAATCTCTTGAAATTTGTATTTGATCGGTTGGCTGTAGATTCAAATTCCTCTTCATATGTGTCGGAGGTTCAAATAGCCTGCTGGAATTAGTAGTAGGCACGCCTGCATTAACGACCTGGTACAGCTGAGGGTGGGTAGACTTTGGTCTTCCCTTCCAAATGCTGTCACGTTGCCATGTGTTCATAGGCGCTGTGCCAGCCAGGTATGTCCCGTTAACTGCTTTCACGAGATGTAGGTATTTCTCACTAAAGTAAAAGACTGGAATGCAAACGTGGGACGCTTACAACCAGACATGTAGGTCCACCCAAAGGAGTCGAAAATCCTTGATTCTAAACTTATGGTGCATATAGGTTGCAGAATCCTAAAGGATTGAATGCCACAGGAAACCGTTTTTGGTCACTATCAGCCACGGGAACACAGTTCCTTATGCTGCTCCGTCGTCTTATAGATCAGACTTCAAGTCGAAGATTCGCGGGAGAATGTGTATGGCTCCTTAAGACAATCATTATTTACTTTAGTCTGGGAGTTCAGGTAGTATCTCAGTATCCTCATATAAACTGTGAAGCTTTGTGTGACGCATTTTTTCGTTCCCATGATGTACCGAGATTGTGGTTTAATAAGTAAAATAAGTAGTATGCGTACAAAGTGTATATATGATTCATTGTTAAACTCATGGAAATATAACATTATGATGTCTGAGGTTGGTTGCAAGAGTCATTATTATTACTATATCTTCATGAATAACTAAGTCTACACAAAGTTTTTGGCATCCTCGACTTCTGGCTTTGACAACTTAGAAGTATTATATAGTTATTCACTTAAACAAAAATAGGAAAAAAAGATTAGTTGGACGAGCTGACATAGGTTGGAGAACCGTTCTAAAACCAGCTGGGAGTATTGGACAGCTGTTTTGTCAGCCTAGTTTGGGACTCTCCAGCGGTACGCACTCATCGCAGAGGTTCGAACTCAGAACCTTCTGGTTACAAGTCGAGCTACCTCTAGACCACTAAACCACTGGAGTTCTAGTGGGAAGCTGTGATCAGTAGGGTACAGAAGATCGAAGGTGAGGACAGTTACTCATCGAAGAAGGCAATATGAAGTGGTTACGCTATGTCATGAATTGGCAGAAGTTAGAATTCATGGGCTATTGGATCTGGTACTAGTGGCTGCTATATGGTCCACGAGCTCGCTAGCCTTGTAACCAGAGGGTCCTGGGTTCGAACCTCTGCGGTAGGTGTGTGCTGATGAAGAGTCCCAAACTAGTCTGGCGAAACAGTACTCCCAGCTGGTTTTCCAATGGTTCTCCAACCGATACCACCTCATGATGAAATCCTCCAACGAATCAAACAAAATCCCCACAAACCAATACTTGAAGAAAAGATTAGTTAATGTAAGTATAGAACTTGGGCACTGTTGTAATGTAATGTAATTCCACACCAGATAAGTTTATTTTCATAATCACTCTGTGATGCAGTATTAACAGCTGGATGACAAGGCTTCGAGCATAAAGTATTGCCACTCATAATCATACCAATTTAGTCACACAGTTTCACAATTTGTCTTACACATATTATATCGCTCCTTCTGTCTTTCCAGCTTCCCTTTGTTGGTTGTCGCCACTTTCCATATCTCCGGTAAAGGCAATACGTTGCCTCATTCCGATTGCACGTGTGCGGTGCTGAATCGATAAACAAAGCTTCAGTAAGTGATTAACTTCCCTCTCTCTCCACCTAACTATGTTACTTTTTAATACTCTAGGTCTGTCCCACCCCATAGCTGTGTGATTACATGCAAGTGAATGCAGTGCAATAGCTGAGCTTTTTTCTAGGTTATTTAGCTTAGCGGGGTCAATTATTCTAGGTCTAGCTAAATTTCTATGTTCCAGTAATCTAGTTGACCCCGCTCGATCTACTAGTTTGACTAACCTATGTAATTGACCTCATAGTCGGAATTACATGGTATTTGGTAAATTACATTATTTCTCTTTATTGGATCGATTGGGTCCTTAAGCCGGCGAAGTGTATCTCTGAGAGAGTTGGTTGGCTGGTTTAAATGCCACCCTGATTCCAGCCTCATTGAAAATCCTACATAAGGCCTCTGATGTTCCTTCTTTATACTGCAGTGCTACAAAGGCTTTGGATTCTATATTGTTAGTCTTATTTTTTTTTGTATGGTTCTTCATATATTTTTGAATAAATTCTGGTGGATAGTTAGTGATTCACTAGTAATATTTCCCTTATTTGCTTTATTTCATTATTTAAATCTTCTGGCTTACTAGTTAGCTAGGCTCCTAGCCCAATTATACAAACATTTAACTAAACCTATCATTACCGATTCTGGATGGGATGAATTAAAGTCTAAGTATCTATTAAAGTGTCTCGGTTTCCTATAAATGCTAGCCAGTATCCATCTAACCTACCATCTTGTTTTCGTTTTATTCTACAGTCAGTCTAGCTTGGCCAACTCACCCTATTCCTTTTCTAACTCACAAGTGAATTGGATTCCGTCTAATATTGAGTTTATATATGTGTGAGAAATTGAGGGATATGTTCAGATTTCAACACAGTGATGGAATGTGTCATCCACATATCTCCATCATAACCTAGGAGCAGGAAGGATTAAGCAATCCAAGTGCTTTATGTCCCCAACTATCCATAAATATGTCTGCTAATATTGTGGACACTGGTGATCCTATTGTCACCCCATTCGTCTGTTTATACAGTTTAATATATGTGTAAAACTTGGGAACTGTGGTAGTAAGTAATTCCATATTAGTTTGTTTATTAGATGTATCACACAGTGAAACAGTATTATTTACTGGATGATACAGTTTCGAACAAAATTTATTGTTCATAATCATCTCATCAATTATAATCACACTTCTTCGAAACTTGAGTTTCATAGTCTTCTTTGTTCTCTCCTATTTGTCATTGTAGGGGTAATGGAATCTTCCAGATATCCGGCTGGACAGGTGTTGAATCACTCATAATACACGTATTTACAGTTGATTCGATAAACAAAGCTTCTGTTATCAATCTCTCCCTATACCCTGTGACATTAGATTTCAAAACTGTCATCCTATCCCATCCTATTGTGTGATTGTGTGTAATTGTATGTAGTGAGTGGTATAGCTGAACTATTCTCTAGATTTCTTATCTTATTCGCGTCAACCAATCTAGATTTTGCTGCAAAGTTTTTATGCTCCTCTAGTCTGACTGACTGCACCTGTTCTACTACTTTGACCTATGTATTTGACCTGACAATCATTGCAGGTAGGGTATTAGATAAACTAAATTGTTTTGTTTAATTGACTCCACAGGATTGATCCTTTAACCGACAAAGCTTGTTTCTAATTGAGTTTGCGGGTTTGAATGCCAGCCACTTTTATTCCTGCCTTGTTAAGAATTCTGCGTAAAGTGGTTTCCGAGGTTCCTTCCTTGTGTGGAATTACTACTGATGATTTAGATTCCTTATTGTTGGTGTCGTCATTAATATCATTATTATTATTATTATTGTCACTATCACTACTATTATTATTTGTTTTATTTTTACACTTCCTTACACATTTCCTGACTAATTTATCCGGGTAATTATTAAGTTTCAAAGCTTCTTTTATGTGTATCGCTTCCTCTCTTGGATTTTCCTTGGTGCTACTTAGTTTTTGTGCTCTGTCACTTAAACATTTCACCAATCCTATTTTTACTGACACAGGATGGGATGATGGGAAGTCCAAATATCTGTTTGAGTGTGTGAGTTTCCTGTAAACACTAGTGTTTAACTTCCCATCTTATTTCCTTTTTACGTTGCAATCTAACATTGGAAGCTCCCTTCCCTGACTTACCAATTCATAAGTGAATTGAATTGCCTCTACCTTCGAGTTGATGTGTTCGAAAAATCTATCTATATCTTGTGTTCTAAGTACAGTGAATGTGTCATCTACATACCTCCACCATACTTTTGGGGTGGGGGTGAACGTTCCAATCGACTAGAGTTACCAACAGTGGGATCTTGTCTTTGATGTTGTCGTGAACAGAAGCATATGTGGAGAAGGTGAGTTGTAAAGATGCAGCAAAGAATGTTTTTTGAATTGCTCTCGACAAGCGGCTTCGGAGAACCTCACTAATTGTGTATCCCCTTTGAATTTCAGACTTAAAATTAGTTGTCTCTTCAGAATATCCGGGTTTCGAGGAGTATTGGTATTCATCTTTACATGTTTATCGATGAAGGAGGTTTACTTTATTATTACGGCTTCAAGCTGGAGCTTTGAAGTTTCGGTAGCACTGGTGTTTATTTTTACGGGATGGTCTTGCTAGTCTCATGCGCAACCTTCCCTCTTTATCAGTCTTATTATTGGCTTAGTGAGGTAGAGGAGTGCGTCTGTGGCCGGGGATTGAACCACGAACCAAATGCGTGGTTGTCGAACATTCCACCTCTCTGCCACCGAAGCATATGGAGGAGGTTGGGCGTCCATTTTTGAAGGATTCCGTTTCCTTATTCAATATAACTTCAGTGAAAATAGGGTAGGTTCTTGTCGCAAGAGAGGCAATGAGATTTCATTTTTCTGGTTTATAGGGACGAAACTGTGATAATTCAACAGCAGCGTTGTTCATTTCATTTTGGCTTACGATAGATTCATATATTTGCAAGTATTGGTTTTGTAGGGATTTTGTTTGATTGCATGGAGGATTTCATCGTGAGCTGACATCAGTTAAGGGAACCACTGGAAAACCTGGGAGTACTGGACAGCTGTTTCGTCAGCCTAGTTTGGGACTCTTGATCAGCACACACCCACCGCAGAGGTTCGAACCCAGAACCTTCTGGTTACAAGGCGAGCTAGCTCGTAGACCATTCAGCAGCCACTGGGACAGGATGCAATGCCCCATGAATTCCAGCTTCTGCCAATTCATGACATAGCGCGACCACTAGCCAATGTCTTCGACGAGTATTTGTCCTCACATTCGACCTACTGCACCCTACTGGCCACGACTTCTCACTAGAACCCCAGGTGACTACCTACCTGAATAGGGCGAGTCGCTAGTGAGCATCTCATCGATATTCAGGTGTTGGTTTGTAGGGATTTCATTACTTACAGGATTTCATCGTGAGCTGACATTGGTTGGAGAACCAGTAGGGTGCATTAGTTCGAGTGTGAAGAAAAATGGTCGCCGAAGACATTGGCTAGTGGTCGTGCTATGTCGTGAATTGGCAGAAGTTGGAATTCACGGGGCATTGGATCGGGTCCCAGTGGCTGCTGAATGGTCTACGAGCTAGCTCGCCTTGTAACCAGAAGGTTCTGGGTTCGAACCTCTGCGGTGGGCGTGTGCTGATGAAGAGTCCCAAACTAGGCTGACGAAACAGCTGTCCAGTACTCCAAAGTTTCCAGTGGTTCCCTAACCGATGTCAGCTCATGATGAAATTCTGAAACATTCATGGTATATTGACGATGAATGATGTATCTGACTGGTTACTTCGAGGTGATTTTGAAGATTCTTCTGTCGAGTTATTGGTAGTGGCGCAGCTTTAGTCTATGCATGAAACATTTCACTGATCAACCCTGTTATTGTGAGAAGTCAGCATAGAAGTGGCAAAGTTGAGCATGATAATGCAAGCATGAAATTCACCAGTAATCTTTCAAATATGAGCAAAACTCAGTTACATGTCACATTTGTCTATTTTGACAGCCTACAGAAAAGCCCAGTGAATAATGATAACACCTAGTCAGTAACTGGATTTGGTAGTGTTCACTTGATGTTCCAAGTGGAATATATAAGAACAAGACGTCTTCATTCTCTCCTTGACTTTTGTAAGGAACACACCCTATAACCTCTTAAAGGAACCTACTCGATATAAGATAACCATTCACCAAAAAGAAAACATTAGAAGATTATCAGCGATAGTGTCATCTACTCTCTGTGTGGAGGTCAACAGAATGAAAAATAAGATCCTGATTTTCAACTCCAATGTGAAGTCAGTGCTACTATATGGATCAGAGACTTGGCGCGTCATGAAGAGCTTTTCAAACAAACTACAGACCTTCATCAACAGCTGTCTTCTCTCAATACTACTCAAGATCAGATGACCGGCCAGAAAAGATCAGCAACAGGGGGGATCTCTGGGAGCGAACCAACCAGGAACCGATAGTCAAACAAATAGTCAGGAAGAAATTGAGGTGGATTGGACATACTCTGAGGATACCATCAAGTGACATCACACACAAGGCCATCGATCAAGTGGAACCTGAAAGGGAAGCGGCGAGTTGGTCATCAGTGCAAGGGTGACTTGGAGGAGGTCATGTGATGAGGAGATGAAAGAATGTGGGCAGACTTGGAGCCAGGTGAAAACTGTAGCAGAGAACTGAACGCGCAATGGAGATGCGCGGCTGAAGCCCTATGCTTCTCTAGGAATTAAAGGAAACAATAATAATAGTAATAATAATACTATCTTACCTTGTTTTAAAACATCCATCCATAGTCTTGTCAACTCTGATGATGGTGCCATTAAAAAGAAAGTATGCAGTGTAGTTTCTAAACAAAAGAATGTTTCAGTTTTTTCTGTACAATTTATTGTTGTTGCTGTTGATGTTGTTTCAGTGTTGTTTATACATTTCATTGTTGTTGGTGTTGAGGATAACTGTTGCTGTTGTTGTTGTTGGTGTTGTTGGTTGTCTTTACTGTCTAATATAATCCTAGAATTGTCTTGATTGAGATTGCTTTTTATCTCAGTATTATTATTAGGATTATTCCCTGATAATGAATAGGATGATCTTTGAGTGTTTTTATTCGATGAGAAAGATTTTTGACAATCTAATAATTGTTCTGTACTACTTTGATGTACATCTTTAATTATTGAAAAGTTTATAGTGCCTAAAATGGGATGACAACAAAAAAACAAACAAAATGAAAGAGTTGGAGATTAGCAGGATAAATCATAATACTACTTTTGATTGGACACTAATTACTAACTAGACGAAAAATATCCAATACAGTTCTACAGGAGGTCAATCGCGAGCCCGAATAACTCAAGGATAACGTCTCAGACTGTGCAGGCTGTACTAGGTGACGCGGGTTCCAATCTCTGGACGCGGAAATGAGTCCCTTCAAGGTTGCAGATACGCCCTGTTGACCGATTGGTGAGTGCCAACTAGGACTATATCTACACAGTTTCTAGTTTATAGGCAAGGAAAAGGCTATAAAGTATTAGAATTTCATTGTTGATACTTTTTAGTTGCTTTTGACACTTAATTTTGGATGGTTTAACTTGTAATAATTGAGTAGATGTGCTTAGCTTATTATACAATGGTTAGATGGTCAAGTGGGGGGGTGATGTCGGAAGCTGAAGGTCTGAGGGTTCTATCCCCGGTGGGGTCATTGAAGCATATTGCAGAGGAGTTGCGTAAATTAGGACATTGAAAGTGGTTCACTACTTCCCTGGTTTTCTGGGATTCTCCAACTGATGTTAGTTTGTGATCTAACTTGTTGTACAAAACTGTTTACCTTAATACGGCGTGAAAGAGATTACATAATAGCATATCTAATCAATGTAGCTTTAAGTGACCAAATTTCAACACAGGAGGTCTGTCTGTCTGTCTGGATTCAACATAGAACTTGGCACCAAAGTGCAGCAGTTCGAGTTGCCACGTTCCAAATAGCACACAAAGGTAGACAAGAAGATGAGTGAAGAGAATCAATAGAGTTTTGACAAGTATAAGAGTGAAACAGAATGAGTAATGGTAGAAAGGAATATGAAAGATTACAGAGACTGAATACATCTGTGTAAGCCATTGACAACGATTTTGAGCCATGTCACCTATTGTCTCAAGCCATTGATTCTTAGAGTCCCGAGGGCCCCAACTTGGAAGTCTGCATCTCCCTACCTGACTCAGTTTAACTGTCAAGGATTTCATTTTTGTTTGGTTACCGCTTACTCTTTTCCAACCTGCACCTAAATCAGCTAGTAATGCCCATCGGGGGAGGAGATGGTGTTAGGCATGCGCAGCACGTGACCTAGCCATCTCAATCTATGTAACTTTATAGCCTCTTCGATTGATTTTCCCTCTTTGCACAACACTCTACGCATAACGTCAACATTACTTACCTTATTATACCACCTAACAGGAAGTGAACCACTAAGTTCAAGTTGCCACACTCTATGTAGTACACAAAGGTAGATGAAAGAGTAAAATGAAAATATTAAAGAAATAATAATAAAAGGGGAAATTTGAGGGTCCAGAATAGGAATATGGAGAAACATGACGTTTTAGTGGATATATGGTGGATTATTGAGAGTAAATGCATCTCCACCATTGAATATGATTTTGAGCCATATCACGAATAGTCTTCAATCATTAGTTCTTAAATTCCTGAGGATGCTAGTCACCCTGGCAGTCTACATCTCCCTACATGGCTTAAATAAACTTTCAGAGACTTTATGGACTAATGTCAGGAGAAAGTTGTTGAAATCTGGGCCCCATAAATGACCTGGTATGGCTGACGGTCGGTAGACGTCAGTCTTTTTCTCGAAATGTGAGACATTGGCTCCATAATCCAAAAAGATTGAACAGCGTATGAACCTTTTTTTTGCTGTCGTCAACCATGGGAATGCTGCTTGGGAGTGTTAACTGAAGACAACCACTTGCTTCGTTCTGGACGTCTAGGCAGTGTCGCCCATACTCACTCACGCATTTCTTGATGCCTATAATGTAAAATGTCAAATCCCACCTCCCTACTGCATTTCAAGTCGCTGGTGAACGAGTGCTAGCATATTAGTAATTAGTGGGGACTCGTGACTACCAAGGTCTTCCGGGCCAGCTATCTCCAGTTGGCAGAAGTTTGAATTCATAGGCCGGCCAATGGATTCCGTACCAGTGACCATTGGATTAATGTGGTAATTTTTTTAACCTCAGTTCCTGTACTCCTCTAGTTAGTTAATGCAAGCTTCTGACGTTAAACTTTCTAACCGCAGTGCAATGTTCTAGTTTCGAATCTTTAACGTGTTGACAATTTCTACTTTACACTACATTTTATTTCAACAAAAACTAATAAACTACGTTTACGTAATTAAGTAGTGTGTAATACTTTGTGTAAAAATTCATATAATAACACAAGACTTACAGTCAATTCGTCCATTTCCTTTTCTTTCACATATAAAAATCTTTTGTTCCAACATATCACACGATAACCATTTACGTGACCATCTAGCTTGACTTGAACTTCTCACAACTATGCGTTTATTGCGTTTATCGTTATCTGAAGTTGTCGAATGATTGGCTGTGGAATCATGTGCTGCTACTCGACGTTTAATTGAATCCCAAATGTTATTTCTATTACGACTTGGTTTTTTCATTATCCATAGATAACCACCGCATATTCTACCGGTGAGAATAATTTTACACTGGAAATAGTCTAACGATTCATCTTCTGCAAGTAGTAGTTTTTGTGCTTTAGATGTTCGTGATGTAATCCAACTGCCTAGAATACTTGATAAACACATTCCAGTGTTTGCCTCAGGTAGTGCGGATGTATCCGAGGATTTTAGGGATAAATTGTCAACTGGATGATGGAGAGATTGTAGGTAATCTCTTAAATTAAATGCGTATTCAGGTTTTTGTTTAACATATCGTTTGACTTTTTGTATCTAAAAAAAGGTTAAATGGGAAAACATAAAAATTTGTCAATTATTTTATTATTTTTCTCAGATAATACTTATTTAGTAATAATAGTAGTATCTTATGGAGATACGAGAAGACGGGCGATTTGAAATTAAGCAGGATAATTTCGTTTAGTATTATTGATTAACGCTGATGACAAAGTGCGGCAAGTGGCCTAGAATATATTCGAATTTAAAGTGGCAACTTTCGAATTACTGAACTGCCTCTTTACCGAATCATTAACCTACTAATAGGTTCACAGTGTGTATGTATGTGTGTGTGTGAAATGAATCGTTGTAGGAGATATGAGAGAAAGCTCAGCGGCAAGACTCATTAATATTAGCTCAGACTGCAAACTGGAATCATATCATATCTGGCGTTGAACATCAGATCTCCACGCTTATTCCTCAAAAAGAGGATAACTGAATCCTGTTGACCAGTCATGTGCGGACCAAATTGTAACGCTATAAATCATCATTGAACAGAGTATAGAATGCCAGTTACAAATCTCTGCTTCAAATTCATCGACTTTGGAAAAGACCTTCGATAGGGTCGACCGTGAAGTGATTTGGGTGCTTCTTCAACACTACAAAGTGCATTGCCACAACCTCATTCAGAAACTATATGATGATGTCGCATGCCAAGGGATTCACTCAGGAAGTCTGAGCCCAGCGTTTGAAATGAAGACAGGAGTAAGACAAGGCTGCCTACCGTCACTGATGATATATTTATTCCTAATTGTGGTGTACTGGATTATGCGTCAGACTGTGGGGAGCGAGAAGGTGAGCATACGTTGAACGGAGAAAAGACTCTGGAAGATCTGTATTTCAGAGATGACTTGTGTCTACTGTCTTACACACTTGAAGATCTACAAGTGAGAACCAACAAGTTGGCAAAAGAAGCGGCGAAGACAAGCCTTCAAGTTCAAATGCGGAAGACAGAGGTAATGAAGATTCCTAATCAACAACAATAACAAGCACCTATAGAAGGAATCCAAAAGAGGCCTTTACGTTTATCTAAATGATCTAGACAGAATCGTTGCAACTTCAGGCAAGCGGCATGAATGAGAATGTCGGGGCTAGTCAGGATCGAAAATGTAAGACAGACCTTCACTAATCTAAAATCAGCGTGGAAATCTGCTTCCCTCAGCATAAAGATGAAGATTTGGATTTTCAAAACTAATGTCAGGCTAGTGCACCTATTTAGTTCAGAGACTTGGTTAGCGCCTGACAAAAAGCATTTCCAAAAACCTAATGCTGATATTTATCAACACCATCCTTGGTTCTCTCGATAGTAACCGTTTGACGGCCGTCCAGAAGTGATAAACTATAGGGAACTGTGGTAAGCGGCCAACTAGCCAACAAACCGTTATTCGAAAAAAGCAAGAACAACAGTTGATGCAGTATAGAATACGACCATTTGTCATTTAATTGGCTTCTCATCAACTGCTTGTTTATAGCCCAAAGCCGTTATTAAGTATATCTACAGAAACAATTTTAACATACTAGCACAGAGTTCATTTTTAAACGAAAATCAATCAATCAGTGTATAACCTCGCCTAGATTACTACGTCACTGGTATTCTAGCCGGTCCCAAGCCCGGATAAAGAGGGAGGGTTGGGGCGTGGTGCTAGCAACTCCACCCCCAAAACTTAACCAAATTGATACTAAAACTTCAACGCACAAATATATTAAAAATTCTACAAATAATAATCAATCAGTATATGCATACAATGCAAGACAAGCTTTCACTACTCTCAAGCCTGTGTGGAGGTCAACAGCACTCAGCATCAAAAATAAAATCCGGATTTCCAACTCCAATGTGAAGTCAGTGCTACTCACTATACGGATCAGAGACTTGCACTGCGCGTCATAAACAGCATCTCAAACAAACTACAGACCTTCATTAACAGTTGTCTTCGCTCAGTACTACTCAAGATCAGATGGCCGGCTAGAAAAGATCCGCAACAGGGATCTCTGGGAGTGAACCAACCAGGAACCGATTGTGAAACAAATAGTCAGGAAGAAATGTCCATACTCTGAGGAAACCATTAAGTGACATCACTAGACAAGCCTTTGAGTGCTAATAATAAACACATTATCCGAAACAACAGTAATGACCACATACAATTGAAACTTCCGGCATTACGTAATCAGATGAAAGAGAGGTTGAAAATATCCAGTGACCAGGCAGAGCAAAGAAAGACTGATAACCGCTTCTTTCTGAACGCATAAATCAGTTTTCAGGTGCTTGATGGATATTGCTTCAGGAAAAAAGTTAAGGAAAATTGAATTCTTTTGTCTATTGATAATTTTGAACGTAATGTCGGAAGTTTCCATTGTGTATGATCATTATTGTTCGGAATAGTGTTTAATATTATATATATATATATATATATATATATATATATATATATAAGTATTATTACTGTATGCATATATTGATTGATTTTTGTTTAAAAATGAACTCTCTGTGCTAGTATGTTAAAATTGTTTCTGTAGATATACTTAATAATGACTTTGGCCTGTGAGCAGATGATGAGAAACCAAAGAAATAAACAATGATGGTACCATTTTATTCTGCAAAAACTGTTGTTGTTCTTGCTTTATTCAAATTCACTAAGGGGAATAAATGTATGAAAAGATTATTCGACAAATAGGGAGTTATTGTTACACACTGAGGACACCGTTGAATAACATCGGTAGCCAGATCCTCGGGTAGAACTCTAGTGGACAATGATGTATTGGGCGTTCAAGACTGATTTGAACGAGATCATATGAGAAGGATATGAGAGCTCAGGGCAGTTGTGGAACAAGCGAAAGAGGACAGCAGTGAGTAGGGTGAAATGACGATGTGCTTTCGAAACCCACTTGATACCGAAGAGAATAGGGGGTAACTAACCTTCATGATGGCTAGCAACATGAGTCACGTAGTTTTGACCAAACTACAAACCATAGTGACATCGAGCATTGAACAGAGTACAGAATCCTACGCTTATTTGTTAAAAGATGATAACTGAACACTGTTGACATGGTAAGAGAGTGGTGAATTAACTGTTTAAACCGAAATAGTTTGATGTAGCTTTTGAAATAACCTCGCCTAGTTTACGAGATCACTAGTTTTCTAGACGATCCCAAGTCCGGGTAAAGAAGGCGAGTTGAGCGTGTGGTTAGCAACCCTACTCCGAAAAACTAATCAAACTGCTACAGAAACTTCAACGCACAAGAAATATATCAACAACACAAAAAATATAAAAAACAAACTTATTCTTTGCTGGATTCAGAGAGGAGAAATAACTTGGGCTAGTGAAAGCATTCGGGAAGCCCGTTAGCCAGGCGATTTGTTGTATCTTGATGAAAGCAAGAATAAGAATAGAGATGTGGGGAGTGAGAAGACAGGAATCCGTTGGACCGAAAGGAAGACTATAAAAGATATGGATTTCGCAAATGATTTATGTTTGATGTCAGATACACAAACCCGAAGACTTGCAGGCGAAAACCAACAAAGTGGCTAAGTAGGCGAGGCAGGCACCGAAGACAGGACTCAAGCTGAACATAGAGAAGACGGAGGTGATTAAGATAACCTACTAACCAACGGTAACAACAACCAGTAATAATCACCATCAATGGGAGAGATTTGACCTAGGTTACTTCCTTCAATTATCTGGCCAGGAAGAACGGTTTCAACCACAGATGTCAAATCCAATGAGAATCAGAAATGGAGGATACACGTCCATCAATCTGAAGCCAATTTGGAAATCTTCCGCACTCACTCAGGCAGCCTAAAGAACAAGATTCGGATTCTGTTCACCGCAAATGTGAAGTCACTCAGTCAGTGCTTCTATACGAGTCAAGAACTTGCACTGCACGCCTGTCACGAGAAGGATTTCCAACACGTTACAGACTTTTATTAACATCTACCTTGGCTGGCTCCATGCTGAAGATGAAATGGCCGGCTGGCCAGAAAGAATTAGTAGCAAGGAACTACTGGAGTCAAGGAACCAATCAAAAGCCTATTGCTCAACAAATGCATAAGAGAGAATGGATTTTATTTTGATAAATCACACAGTGTTGTACAGTTATATTAACTGATGACGTTTCGAGCACAAACTATTGCTCATAATCATATCAATTTACTCACACAACTGCTTTCCTTCATTTATATACATGTGTGGAATCGATTCGATATTGGAATAAAATTCAATATGAGATAATGTACATTCAGAAATAATAGTACGAGTGTTATTAATCCATTGCAATTAGATGGGAAATAGAACGAGTGTTTTTACAGTCATAATAAGTTAATTGTTAGAATGTTATGATGTGCTTGAATTGAAATAGAATTTTAAGATTATTTATCATCCTCTTCTGATTTGACCGGCGGTAGTAATATCTTCCATATTTCTGGTATTTGCATTGAGTCACTTCTGTTGCATGTGTTGGGAGTAGACTCGATGAATAAGGATTCCGTAATCAACCTCTCTTTCCACCTACCTATATTACTTTTTAGAATTTTAACCCTCTCCGACCCTATTGTGTGGTTGTTTGTTATTGCTGAAGTGCAATAGCTGAGCTTTTTTCTAAATTACTTATCTTTTCAGGGTCAATCAGTTTTCCCTTAGCTAAATTCTTATGTTCTGACAATCTGACTATCCCTGATCTACTAGTTTGACCTATGTAGTTGACTTTACAGTCATTGCAGGGTATTTTGTAAATTATATTATTTTGTTTAATTGGGTCCACCGGGTCTTTTAGCCTACTGAGCTTGTCTCTGAGTAAGTTTGTAGGTTTGAATGCCACCATAGTTCCTACTTTATTGAGAATCCTACGTAGGGCCTCCGATGTCCCCTCCTTATATGGTATAACAGTAGAAGACCTATATTCTCTCTTATTTATGTTATTACTACTAGTTACACAATTATTTTTATTTTGTTTTTGGCCTTTACTGATCTTCTTAATGAATTTTATTGGATAGTTATTTAACACCA